GGAGCAGGATGATTGGGAGTTCAAGGCCATCCTTGCCTGCATGGAAAGTTTAGATCAGCATAGGCTATGTGGGACTCTGTCTCCAAACAGAAGAGAAAAGGACAAGAAGGTAGACAGACCACAGTGTTCACTTATGAAAGTAACAGGTAAAATCACTTGGAGAGTCCAAGTAACTAGCATATTTCCTTCCTATCTGCAACGTCATGTTGGCAATAAAATCATAACTGGAGGATTGTTTGCGATCAAACAAAGGGGCTTGAGCTGTGTCCTTAATTAGTGATAGCCCAAGCACTAGGAGACTCTGGAAGGAAAAGTGCTATGATCTTAGAGTCACATGGCAGAAGCCTGATTCTGGTGGTCTCAACGGACCAGGATCAGCCACTTGTCCAAAGTGACGGAAGAGGATGTAATAGTAGCGCAAGCACAAAATGAATTTGTTTAGCGTATGGGAAGTGGGTATGGGACCAGCATCCTAGGCTTGCCCTGGATGGAGAACTTCAGACTGTGTAAGGAAGGAACAAAACTGGCCTGGGTGATAGTTATCTCAGGAGAGTCATGAGGGGCCTGGTTGGTGACAAGAAAGCCACTACCTACAGAGTAGTTTTGACTCTTATTGCAACATGTTTATTGGTCAGACCTGTTCTCTTGGAACTCACGGTAAGTGCAAGAAGGAATGACTCAGAAAAAGAGCGAGTCAGAAGGGCATGGTGGCTAATTAGGTCAACCACAGGACCTTCTTTCAGGGCTAAGACAATGGCCAGTTCCAGATGCTGCTCTGGAGGAGCGCAACATTAAGCTAGAAGCTCCAGCCTTTCTGCCACCTCTTCCTGCTCTGAGTCTGGGGTGGGTGGGTACAGCCTCCGATGCAGGATCCCGTTTGCGGCTGAGCACTCCACAGGCACTGCGAGCAGCTGAGCTTCTGCATCAGCCACCACCTCTTCACAAAGAAGCTCCTCCCATGAGGCCTGAACTGCGCTGGCCTACGGGGTTAGAGAGTGAGTTAGAGGGAAGTCTCGCAGCGTGCTCATAATCGCAGTTGGTTTGAGGAGGACCACCGTTGAACAGTGTCTTCCGGACAAGAGAGGACCACTGCCCCGGGGAGGCCAGGCAACTGTAGGTGCCTGTGCAAGGTCTAGTTAGTTCCTGCCCACTCCAGTGGGCACAGGAAAGGAGCTCACGAGCTGGAGACCTTGATGGCTGGAGGGAGAGTCGGCTTTAAGAATGTGGCCACTGGGCACGCATGAATATATGGACTTGGTGGGTTAGGAGAGAGGTGGGAGTGGCATGGACAGAGCCCAGAGGCTTGGAACAAGCATTGCTCTTGCAGAGGACCCTCACCTGGTTCCCGGCACCCAGTCGGGTGGCTCACAATGCCACCTGTACCAGCTCTAGAGGATTCAACACCTCCAGGCTCCTCAGGCACTGGTGAACACACACCTATACAGGCACACACACACACGCACACACACACACACACACACACACGAACATGGTTATAAATAAAAAGATAAAGCTTAAAAATAAAAAAGGACAAAAAGTTGGGAGGAAATGAGGGAGCTGAGGGGGGAATATGATCAAAATACACTGCATGCATGTGTGAAATTCTCAAAGAAATCATAATTAAAAGTAAACCATATGCACAAAAGGCCAGAAGGCAGCAATTTGTTGATCATTCTAACTCTTCAAGTGTTAGCCACATCTTAGTGATTCTTGGTATCTCAGCCTTGAAGGGGAGGAGGGTTTTAGATGAGCACTCCTTAAATACAGTGTCGAACAGAAAGCTGACCTAAAGTTTAAAGTGGCCAAGGGGAGAGAGGCACTATGAAGGCACACATGCTAAGCTTCCTTGTTCTTAGTCATTCATCGGACCTCTGCAGGACCATGAGGAGACAGCTCTCCAGCAAAACAGCAGTCAAATCCCTGTCCTTCACTTGAATGCTGGCTGCCAAGATCTGCCTGTCTTCTTGGGTGAGTTTGCATATTTTTCTTTGCCGTATTATACATATTTAAATTTTAATAAATGTGTTGAGTGTATGCATGGCACAGCGGGAATGTAGAGGTCAGAGAACAGGTTATGAGAGTCGGCTCTCTGCTCCCATCAGAGGTTGGCCCTGGCAAGCAGCCGTACCTGCTGACAGTCCTGTTCTGTCATATATTTAGGTTTCCCAGGACTTTTTTTCTTATTTTCAATTTTATGGAGGTGGAAGAGTTTACCACAGTCCCAAAAGCACTAGCAATAAAAAGAACACCCCTGTCTTGCACATCAGCTGTGAGGGTTTCCTGTTACTCCACCCAGGTCAAACAGTTCTCTTCAATCCTATAACCTATAAAGGCCAGAGCCTAGCCCATGCATGGGCCCACCTACGGGAGACGCGTGCGCTCTGGGAGATGCGTGTGCTCCTGGACTCCTCTGCCTGCCCCTTCTCCGTGGTCATTGCTCAGCTTTGTGCCTATTTATATGGGAATCAGTTTCTGCCAAATACAAGAGCAACGGCCCTGACCATTCACGGAAGGGGAAGGCCTCAAATAGTCCCAAATGAAGCAGGGGGCTGCTTGAAACCTCCACCATCTAACTGTGTGTTATTGTTTTATTTTGACGCACTGAGTTTAGTTATGGCTGCTGACATGAGCAGGGGTGGGTCCCACCTCCCGAACCACGAGCAAAATACTAGAACACAGCATGTACATGCATGGAATTGTCAGAGACTAGGAAGGGGGACAGAAACTGAGGGACAGTTTTTGGGAAGCAGGGTTGAAACAGGGCTTCTCTGTGTAGCCCTGGCTGTCCTGTAACTCACTCTGTGGACCAGGCTGGCCTTGAACTCACAGAGATCCATCTGCCTCTGCCTCCTGAGTGCCAAGACTAAAGGAGTGTGCCACCACCAACCAGCCTGAGGGACACTTTAATTCCTATATATGTTGCTTAAGGGGTTAGAAAAAATTTTAAAAATAATTTTTATGTGCATTGGTGTTTTGCCTGTATGTATGTCTGTGTGAGGGTGTGTGACCTTGGAGTTAGAGACAGCTGTGGGCTGCCATGTGGGTGCTGGGAATTGAACCCAGGTCCTCTGGAAGAGCAGCCAGTGCTGCGCCATCTCTCCAGCCCAGAAGAAAGAATTTTATTTTATATTCTTTCTATAAACCAGATACATTTTAAAGATTTATGTGTGTGCGTGTGTGTGGACAGCACCAATAATGCGCTCCTTTGAGCAAATGGCTGGAGTGGTCCTTCTGGTCGTTCTGACTGCAGAACTCTTACAGCGCTACTGTCCCTGGAGTTTCAGCCACGCATGGTGCAGGTTGTTTGCCTTGGAAAACTCTGTTAGGAATGGAATAAGAGTCAGGCCCAGGTTGGGGAAAGCAGGCCAAGGAAAGGGAGAAAGAGAGACAAGCTGGAGCCAGATCCACAGGCACGGCTCTCGAGGGTAGACTCGGTACATCTTTCTCTTTGCAGACGTCAGAACAGTCTGGTTCTGGGTACAAAGAAGGGGCTGAGTGGTGACGAGAAGTAGAGAAGAGACCCCACTTAAAAACTACCAAAGGAGCACACAGTTACACAAGGGCTGCCTGGAAACACATGCATGGAGACACACCAGGCCTTTTAGACTCTCCCAGGCAGGCATGTGTGTCCTCTCTGTAACTTTGAATTCACGTCAGTTGTGTGACCTGACCATGCCAGGGTTGAAAAAGGAGAGAGGCTGGGTGATTTTTAAGCTACTCATGTGGAAAAGAAAGGCCATCTTACCCCTTGGTGTATTTTAATTCCTATCACCCTATCACCCTAGTCCTCCTTCCAGAAGCATGTACTTGAAGGAGAAAGCAAGGGTCCTGGAAGAGCAGAAATCTTAGCCCAGACTAGATTGGATTGAAGCCATGAGACAGGAAGAGCAACCATTAGGAAGCAAAGAAGGTCTCCACACCCACTTTTACTCAGAGGACCCTGCTGTCTTCAGCAAGCTCCACCATGCCCTGCTGGAGTCCAGTTTCATGCTCTGGAGGGGCATGAGGACTGGGAGCTGAGGCTGGAGCCCGACAGGAAAGGCCCATCAATGCAGGCGCTAAAGGAGGCACTTCTCGGAGAGGCCTGTGGCATGGGTTAACTTATTTAATGTTTGTGCTACTAGCTTCTAACAGATCAGTCCTATTGTTGTATTTAATTAATCAGTTTAGTGTGTGTGTGTCCTGTATACAGTGCGTGTGTGAATGTCAGAGGACAGCTTTCTGAGTCCTCTCCTTCCACGCTGTGGGACCCAGAGACTGAACAATGGCCACAAGGCTCGGTGGCAGCACCTTTACCTGTTGAGCCATCTTTTATTTTGTTTGTTTTTGTTTTTATTTTTATTTGAGACAGATTCTCTTGTAGCCAACCTTCTGTGGAGCTGAGGATGACCTTGGATTTCTGATCCTTCTGCCTCCACTTTCTGAGTGCTGGAATCACAGTCGTGTTCCCGAAATCCTGGTTTACATGGTGCTGAAGTTAGGCCCCAGAGCTTTGTGCACACCCAGGTCCCTGTTACTTCAGCCAGGAAAACTTGACACCTCAGTTACATCAGGCAGAAGCCTAGGCATCAGACCTCTGCTCAAACCTGCCTCCAAAAAAAGGAGGACTTTGGAATGCTCCCTGGGCGGTCTCAGAGCTCGCTCAGGCTCAGCCGAGTTTCAGTCCCTTTGGTGCTCAGCAGTCAGCGGAAGGCAGGTTGTGCGGCCAGCCAGCTCCAGGCACTTGGGGAGAGAGCCAAGGCTCGTGGGTGCTTCTCTGGGCGGTCTCCAGCCGGCTCAGCCTAACCTGGGTGGAGGTAGAGGCGGAGCACTGCTTTTTCTGACCTAAGGAGGAGGGGCCGCAGCCAGGCAAGGCCCTTGGCAGCTAAACTGTCGCACATGCAGCCCAGCCCATCTCCCAAGGCAAGTACCTGAACCGCACTCTGGGACTGAGCCCTGAGCTGCTTTGGGAGCATCTTGTCTCTGGGACAGCAAGCCCTGTCCCCTATCACACAGGTCACATGGGTCCTGGGGTGACCTGTCCGTGGGGCAGCCAGCTTTCTGGCTTCCAGGCGAGGACTTGGACGGAGCCTGTGGTGGCCTTAACCCAGGTGGCCGGCTCCCTCTACGATGCAGGGCTGCTCCTGGTAGTGAAGGAGGCCTTCGCACCTGAGGCTGGAGGCTCCTCCAATTACAGTGCCAGCCAGTCGCTTAGGGGGCACCAGGAGGACCAACAGCAGAAGGCCATTTCCAATTTCTACATCATCTACAACCTTGTGGTGGGCCTGACGCCCCTGCTGTCCGCCTATGGACTGGGCTGGCTCAGTGACCGTTACCATCGCAAGATCTCTATATGTACCTCGATGCTGGGCTTCCTGCTGTCCCGCATCGGACTCCTGCTCAAAGTGATGCTGGACTGGCCAGTGGAGGTGATGTATGGAGCAGCGGCGCTCAACGGGCTCTGCGGGGGCTTCTCCGCTTATTGGTCCGGGGTCATGGCACTGGGATCCCTGAGCTGCTCCGAAGGCCACCGCTCCTTGCGCCTCATTGTCATCGACTTGGTCCTGGGCTTGGCCGGGTTTTGTGGGAGCATGGCCTCGGGGCACCTCTTCAAGCAGATCGTTGGGCACTCAGCGCAAGGCCTCCTGTTAACTGCCTGCGGCGTGGGGTGTGCGGCCCTTGCGCTTTTCTACAGCCTCTTTGTGCTGAAAGTCCCCGAGTCTGTGTCGGAACCCAGCAAGGTGTACACCGTAGATACGGTGTCTGGCATGGTAGGCACCTATCGAACTCTGGATCCAGACCAACTAGACAAGCAGAATGCACCAGGAAGCCCTCCGGCTCCTGGGAAAGGGAAGCCCTCCCGAACCATCGTTGCCCTGCTATTTGTCGGAGCCATCATCTATGACCTGGCCGCTGTGGGCACAGTGGATGTCATGGCCCTTTTTGTGCTAAAGGAGCCTCTCAGTTGGAACCAAGTGCAGCTGGGCTATGGGCTGGCTTCTGGGTACATAATCTTCATCACCAGCTTCTTGGGTGTCTTAGTCTTCTCCCGCTACTTCCGGGACACTACGATGATCATAATCGGGATGGTTTCCTTTGGGTCTGGAGCCCTTCTCATGGCCTTTGTGAAGAAGACATACATGTTCTACATTGGTAAGTGTGGGGCTTAAGGCAGCAGGGTACTGCTGGCCCTCTGTGCCAGAACTGAACTTGCTCTCTAGGGGGGTACAAGGAGACAGGAATGGGCTTATCAGTATAGTGCTGCGTATTTCCTCTATGGCTGACTGAATCTTGCCATGGTGATACCCATGGCTCTGGGTCAAGAAGATGTGGTCAGTGGCTCTTGGAATCAGTATGGAAGGCCTCATGTGCCTAATAGCTAACAACTTGGAAAGAAAAATTCTAGATAGATATCAGAGAACTGCCTGAGGTCATAAACCTCAGAGAGACAGCTAGCAAAATGGCAAGGTAACCTGGCACCCATTCCCAATTAAGAAAGCCTTGTACAAAGGACAGAGTGCCCCTCTCCAGCCCTTCCCACGCTCTCTCTCTCCATCCTCCCTCTCCTCTCCTTAACCCACCCCCATCCCTCCACTCTGCATTTGCCTAGTTAAGGGGCAGCTGAACTAGGGCTAGAGATTCAGAGTCTGAATCCTCAGACACTGGGGTGCTGCTAGCAGAGAAGTTTAATGCTTCCAGGCCAAGGCCACAGGGACTTCGGGGAAGAGGGGCTGGAAGCGGAAGGCTTTGCTCTGTTCTGACCTCCCTGCTCGAAGCTGGACTCATGAAAAGTGTTCTTATGATCTGTTACAGCCCGAGCCATCATGATGTTTGCACTCATCCCCATCACCACCATCCGATCAGCCATGTCCAAACTCATAAAGGACTCTTCCTATGGTGAGCAAGAGGACTCTTTCCAGGATGCCCTGCCCAGGCTGTCCCCGCAAGCGGGGCTGGGGAGAGGGCTCCATTGGTAAAGTGCTTGCATGAGGCCCTGAGGTTGGATTTCAGGCACTCATAAAATGCTGGTAGGAAGTACATGCCTGTAGTCCCAGAGCTGGGGCGCCGAGGAGGCCCCTGGAGCTCTGGCCTTCATACACGCACACATGCACGCACACACTCATTCTTACAAGCGCCCTCAAACTCATAAGGAACATACTTGTTTCTATCTGGGATAAAGGGTGCAGAAAAACACCTCACAAAGCTAGTCACAGAGACATATTTTGGGAAGATCCAGCTAGATGCAGACAAGATGCCCATCAAGTTGAGCCACAGAGATGAAAAGGAGTCCTTAGGAGAGTGAGGGGTCTCCTGGAGCTCCCCAGAGACCAGGCAGGGGAAACAAGGAAGGGAGGACAGGACATCTGTTGTAACCTTTGTCTCTTCCACAGGAAAGGTGTTCGTCATATTGCAGCTGTGCCTAGCTCTGACTGGGGTGGTGACATCCACCATATTTAACAAGATCTATCAGCTCACCCTGGATAAGTTCAATGGCACCTGCTTTGTTCTATCCTCGTTTCTCTCCTTCTTGGCCATTGTCCCAATTGGGTAAGACAGAAACTGTGCTGTGTGTGTTGGGGTCCTGGTGCTTCAGTCAATCATAGACTTTTTTTTTAATTATAAGCTCTCTCACAAAGAAGAAGTGTTTTTTTTTTTTTTGTTTTTTTGTTTTTTTTTTGTTTGTTTGTTTCCAAACAGATAATCTAACAATCTGTAAATCACAGTAATGAACAGACAGCTCCAAATATCTGGCTCCTTTCTGGAAGTCTTGTGAGATGATTTATTCATAGCTGCTTCGTATACTTTCTTAGAGTTGGAGTCCAGGTTAGAAACTTGCTTGCTCTTTGGTTTGGATCCCTTTCGGCAAGAGTCATCCAGCTTGTCCCTCCCAAGGACTGTTTCTTCTCTGTGCCTTGAAAGGACTCAGTGGCCCTGGCACGGTGAGCTCCCCAACACAACCCTAGGCAACAATCCCTTGACCTCTTCCTCTGGAACACCTTCGCAGTTGTGAAACAAGATCACTTAGCTCCAGGCAAGCGCAGGCAGGAGGAGGACCCAGCAGCAGAAGAGGCAACTGCTCCACGGCCAGGCACTAGCCCAGGGGTCAACAGAATGGAAAGAATATAACAGTTAGTTCTGGCTTTACTAAAAACGAGTGTGAACCACAAAGGTAGGTGTGTGCGCGGGTGTGTTTGTTAAATTTGATAAGGAGACACTTTATTTTTAAAGATCTTTTAGTTATATGAAGTATTTGTCTGCATGTTTTTCTATGTACCAAGTGTGCCCAGTGCCCACAGAAGCCGGAAGACAGAGATGGGGTCCTCCAACACTGAAGTTACACGTGGTTGTGAGCCACATGCTGGGCGCTGGGAACCCAACCCAAGTCTTTTGAAAGAGCAACAAGTGTTCCTTCTCCTCCTCCTTCTTCTCTTTTTCTTCTTCCTCCTAACCTCAGTTTCCCTTCCCTCCACTACTCCCATAACCCCCCCCATCTTCCCTCTCCCCCAGACCCACTGCTCCTCTGCTTAACTTCAGAAAAGGGCGGGCCTCTTAGTGATATCAAGTGAAATAGGCAGTAAGTGCTTTTAACCACTAAGCCATCCCCCCAAGACCCAAGGAAAAGGTGATCTGGGGGTGTCATTTGATTGGCACAGTGCTTGCTTACTCTGCACAGCCTAGCTTTCATCCTTCCCATCATAGAAGCAATGTGGTGGCACACATCTGTAATTTCAGTACTCAGGACACAGAGGCAGGAGGATCAGAAGTTCAATGTCATCCTGAGCTTGTTAATAAGTTTCATTTTTGCCTACACTATATGAGACCCTGTCTCCAAAAAGGAAAAAAAAAAAAAAAGAAGATGGTGAAGTTAATTATGCTAATATAGCTGGTAAACAAGTATCTCAACATGTGGTCAGCATACGTAATCGGGTAATAGAAATGTCTACTTTTTAAAATGACCAAATCTTTGAAATCCACTTATATATTGTCATCCTTAGAATAAATTCTGACTTAGGTATTCAGTAGCCAAATGTCCCTACCACTTCCCCCTGAACTGAAGCCCTCTCATGTAGGGGCTAGCAACATGTATCTTCCAGGACAGACACAGGATATGTCATAAGGTAGAAGGGGTTTAACACAGTCTCACTCTTGGAAGTACCTGCTTGGTCACTAGGTAGCAGTAGAAGCAGCTGTATTACTGGCAGCAGAGTAGAAGGTTAAATGAAGGCAGAGTAAAAGGACACAGTGATGAAGCCTTTCTTGTTTTGGAATCCTCACATCCTATCATAATATAGGCCTCCTGGGTTAGGAGCCGTCAGTCGTTAAGGCTGTTTGCTTTATTTGTTAGTTGAGGGAAATGACAAGAATCAAACGGGTGGGGATACTTAGCCAAGCAGAGGACCACAGCCGGGTCTCATTCCTAAGGTGTGAGAACTGAACAAGGACTGTCCAGGACTTTCCGTCCTTTAGGCCCTCCCACTGGATCCTGGCTGTTTGGGCTGATTGGATGAGAGCTAGCATGCAGTACAGATTTTTGAGGGGTCCCAACTCCCTGGTCATCTACATAGTGGATTAATAGTTTCATCCAAGTAGCCAATCCCATTTCATTGAAGGTTCAAGCAATCTCTCTAATCCAAATAAACTCCCAAAGCAATAGTAGGAAACAAGTCTAACTTGCTAAAGTAGGTCATAAAGTTATAAACAGACCAACAAAAGCAATGACTGTTTCCCTCTGCATGTCACCCGGGTTGTGCTAAGCGGGATGGCTTGCCTCCTTCAGGAAGAGATGCGAGGGCTCATGGAACAGGTGTGATGCTCTTGACACCTCACCCAGTGGACTTTGGCCACTTGTTTCTGCACCAGTTTTGTGTGTCTGTCTGTGTGTGTGTGTGTGTGTGTGTGTGTGTGTGTGTGTGTGTGTGTGAATGCCATGTGTGTTCAGGTACCCTCAGAGGCCAGTGGTGTTGGTTCTTTTGGAGCTGGAGTTACAGGTGGTTAAAGCCTCTGACATGGGTGCTAGGAATCCTGCCTCAGGTCCCCTGGAAACATCCTTACCTGCAGAACCATCTTGCCAGTCCTACACCAAACCTTAATTAGCCACTCAGGGTCTTCATGATCTCCTGTCCCAGAAGCAGGAAGAGGCTCTGGAAACAACCAAGTGAGCAGCTGACTGGATGCTCCTATGGATGAAGCAGCTACCTGCTAAGTGCTTCTCCATCATTCCTTAGCAGCAGAGAGACACTACATGCCAACAAAGTCACATTCTCTGTATGTTGCACATCCAGGAAGGATTTCAGAAATGACTGCTCTCAGGTCCCATCCCCATAGATGGGGACTCAATTGATCTGCGGCACAGCCTAGGATGGACATCGTTTTAAAATTCTCCATGTCATTTGAGTGTAAACTAAGATTGAGCATGGAGTAGCAGTGTTTCCATGACCTTCCCTCTCCTCAAGGTCACTCAGCGAGAATCTGAAAATCTCTTCCAGCTAGAGGTGGCCAGTGTGCATCAGTCATTTGTACAAGCAGCAGGAAAGACCTGTGGGGTTTCTAGCCACGGAGGCCCAGGAAGGCCGAGTAAAGCAGAGAACATGAAGTCAGAAGGCTGGACCACTTACTGTCTGCATTTTCCTTCTTGATGCCAGGGCTGCCAACAGCCTGTCTATAAATGGAAGAAGCGGGGGGGCAGACGTGGACCTGCCTGGTCCCTACAACAAAAGGGAGGAATTGTCACGAGCACTGTGGGAGTCTGACTTTTCTGCCTGCTCTTCTCTACATAAACAGGGAGGTGCCAAGAAAGTATTTGCGAGGCTCCTCTCTTGCCACAATCCTCTTCCCTACCTCCCTACCCTCCCACATACATGTACACACATGTAAGTACACAGACATATGCACACACACACATACACACACACACACACACACACACACACACACACACACACACAGGTACTCACAGGCTCGCAGAGGTTTTGTGTTGCACAGAGAAAATGTCATCCACCAGAGGAGAATGATTTCACTTTCTCCAACCTACACACTTTGGTAAATTCATGTTCCATCCCTATCCTAGGCTTTTAAAAAATGGTACTAGTTAAATACTTCATATGTGATAATTCACAAAGACTCCGTTGAAGCAACTATTATTTATCCCTATTTTGCAGAGAAAACAAAGCCCCTCTCCCTTTACCTTGCTCTAAGCTGAGTCCTGCTTAAACTCCTGCAGCTTCTCCTTCAGAGCACACCAGCTGTTGACAATTAGTGGTGCCCTGTTTAACACGCTTCCACTAGGCTGGAGGTTTGCAGGGGACAGAGACCACGGCGGTGTGGCTCCCACCTGTCCACTGTGTCCCGCAGAGAGCTCAGCACCTAAGAAGTATTTCGGGAGGATTTGTTTAATGAACAAATGCTTTGTCAAAAAGTTGTGGCCCGAGACAGGGGCTGGAGCTCTGCTGGTGGAGAGCTTAGCTAGCATGTGTGAAGCCCCAGTCTCAAGCCCCAGCTCGTCCTAAACCAGGCATGGCAGGCCATCCCTGCAACCCCAGCTCTCGGAGGGTGAAGGCAAGAGGGGCAGAAGTTTCGGGAGAGCCCCACCTAGGCTTCCCAGGAGACCCGTCTAAACAAAGCAAGAACGATGTGGGGCTAGGAAGACGGCAGGTGACATGTGTGTTGAGGAAGCATGAAGGTACAAGTTCAGATCTCTAGCGCCCATGTAAAGCACCTACAAGCCCAGCGCTGGGACAGGGGATAGACCAGAAGGTTCTCGGAGGTCACCGAGGTTGAGGCAGATAATCTGCTTGGGATCGGTGAAGGTTACTCTGGCTATCCGAGACAGTCACGGGAACGCATCAGCAGCCAGGAGTGACAGGCAACGAGGTGCCAGGAAGGTGCGTCCAGTTCAGCGTTGTGGCATCAGGAGAAGTTCATTATCACAGGACTGGAAGGAATCTGGAGAGTTTTCTCTAGAGCCAATAACAGCCTGGTGCACAGTGGGGCCAACCTCTCTCCCTGTCGGTGAGAAAGAGTGGTGGGAGATGACCCAGGCACAGGTGAGGAAAAGCTATCCCTTCGCCTCATTCCACCTCTCCCTTCATAATTCTCCTTTGCAAATTCTTACAGCATTGTGGCCTACAAACAAGTCCCGAGGTCATCACAAGAAGAAAGTGCAGAGAAATGAAGAAGCTGAAAACAGTGATAACCAGGTCCTGCCCATGAAACCCCAGTTCCGGCCTTCCAATGACCTGCTGTGTGGCTCTTGGGTCCCTGGTGGGCGGGAAAATCACTTTCTGGGTTTTGGAGGAAATTTTCTAGTTCTCAGATGCCTCTGCCAGGTGGAGGTAAGGATCTGTGTGTACAAGCTGCTTGCACAGGCATCCTAGGTCTTGGAGGGGCTCCATTCAGCCAGCCCCCCTTTCCATCACTGTGTGAAAGGCTTCAATGGAGCCTTAAGTCACAGGGCACTAAGCTAGGAGGCATGGCTACAGCCTGCATTTCGCCAGCCCGAGGGGAATGAACACAGAATGGACATTTGTAAAAACTGACAATAGTTTTGTATGCTTGGCAACAGTTTTCAAGTTAATGTAAAATCTTGGGGGGGGGGGAGGAATGAGTTTTCTTGGTTTCCTCAGCTGGAAACAAGAGCAGTGAAATGCAAGGGAGTGTTGTATTACCGTTAGGAAGCAAAGATGAGGACTGGGGCTGAAGTTCAGTTAGTTGAGTGCTTTCCCGGCATGCACCAAGCCTGAGTTCAATCTTCCGCACCACAAAAACCAGGCATGGTTGTGCATACCTGTACTCCCAGAACTTGGGGGGAGGGGGCGGTTGAGGCAGAAAGATTGCAGGTTCAAGGCTATCCTTGGCTGTATTACCAGTCAGAGACCAGCTGGGAATACACGAGATCCTGCCTCAAAAAACAGAAACAAACCCAGCAACAGCAAAGTACCAGGAGACTTCCTTAGTGACTTAGCTGACTTTCAGTCAACACTGTCCTGAGTGGATGGTGTTAAAAGGCAGGGATGTGGAGCGCCAGCTTATTCTGAGTTGTTTATCCTGATTGTCTGTTTTGCTTACAAAGCAGAATCATCTTCTAATAAAATCAATATTCACAATGTGAGTACAAATCGTTCTTTCTCTGCTAGGCTCCCCCTGTAACTACAGACATGGCATTCTCAAAGTGGAGTGAAATATACAGAGAATGCATTCAAATGCCAGGGCATCTGGACAGTTTGTACCTGATTCTCTTCCAAGGAATAATCAAAACTTTACTTTCTTCCTCCTCTCTCAAAAATTCCCTGCATCCTCTTCCTGTCTCCTGTATCCTCTTCCTCCCTGCATCCTCTTCCTCCTGTCCTCCTTGCATCTTTAACTCTTGAGGCCCCAATGGCACTGTCCTTAGTTCTTCAATGTTATTTTTTTTCTCACGACCCCAGAATTTTTTGAACATCTGAGTCAACACCTCCAGTTCCCCAAAGCACAAATCACACACCTTTATTTTCCCCTCACTCACCACTTAAGATTACTGAGTCTTTTCTCTCTTCCCTCCTACAGGAGAATCACCTCGACCCCCATGCTGCAGGATCCAAATCACCTCTGACCTAGTCCCCTTTCTCACAGTTCTCTCTTAAATCCAGCTTCTCATTACAGCTTCCTCCTTTATCACTTTTTGCCATGGTTTTAATGGAGGTCAGAGGAGAATTTTCATGATTCGCTTCTCCTCTATCAGGACCAGGGATTGCACTCTCAAGTGTCTTTATCTGCTGAGCCGTCCTAGCCATGGCTTTTGCAATTTATTTCTATCCAACACCCAGGTCTCCAGTCTGATCCCAATCCTCCAGGATCTGAACTCTGTACCCTCTTAAAAGAGCAAGGGGAAAGGTATATAAAATCAGACAGCTAAGCATATAGGAAAGGCTTACTGGTTAATATTTAACTTGGACATAATTTAAATTAGTAGCAGGAAGAGCCCTTCTGGAAGAGCTCTTCTATAGTGAATGTCCACCACACAGGTGCTTTGTGTACATAATTACTAACTTACGAACCCTGTAGAGCAGGCTTGTCTGCACTTCAAAAGTCATAGTATTGAAGGCTCAGAGATGTAACTATCCTAGAACCACAGTTATCAAATAAGACAATAAAGATTAAGTCTCGAATCTATTTCATCTTGCTGCCCCATTTTATATCACTGTAGTACTGGATTGATGACGGATTAATTGAATTAGATTATTACTAAGCCAAGTTCAGCATCATTATGAAGTCCATTTCCAATGTCTTGCTTGATTTCCAATGTCAGGCATGCATCTATCTATCTGTCTGTCTATCTATCTATCTATCTGTCTGTCTGTGACAGCACCTAATAGTGTAGCCTTGGTTGACATAGATCTGACTTGCTTCAAACTCAGAGAGAGCCGCATGCTTCTGCCTCCCACGTGCTTGGATTAAAGGCATGCACCACCACATCCAGCTTCATTTTATTTTTAACTCAGTGTGTATGTGTGTGTGTGTGTGCATGTGAGGTTGAGAAGACAAAAAGAGGTCCTTGGATCCCCTAGAGCTGGGGTTACAGGTAGTTGTGAGCTCCTGGACACAGGTACTGGAAAATGAATTTTTGTCCTGTAAAAGCAAGGACAAAAAACATAGGCTCTTAAACCCAAGCCTCTCCCCAGCCCTGGCCTCTCCTTATTAACTCTCATAAACTGCTAAACATGGCAGAAAACAAACAAACAAACAACAAAAAACCAACCAACCAACCAACCAACCAAATAAACAAAAACAGGAAGTGGCTGCCTGGACCCAAAATATAATGTGCTTTTATTTCTTCTGTGCGGGAAGCAATCTCTGTGTAATGTCCTCCTTCTAATCACAATACTCTAGCAGTTTCTTCGTCTGCCAACTTGTAGGATTCAGAAGGCAAACTGAGGCAGGACCTATAGTGAAGTGAACATGAAGCTTGTGTGTACATATGTATGTCTTCACTGTTACTCTGTATATTCTGATTCTCACCAGCAATGATCATCTGTTCCAAGAAGAGCCCGAGGCAGGCGCTCCATTCCTATCCTAACAGGGACAAATGAGCACATGACCCGGGTTAATAAAGCATCTTTTATAGGTTTATTGGTCCATTACTTTAAGTTAACTGAGGTAAAGAATTTTTTTATTTACAAGCTAATAGTTTATCAAGCAATACAAATTCTTTGTTTACCTCAAAATGTAATACTAATTCCATAGTAAACAAACAGAATTTCTTACATACAGATATACAAAAAAAAAAGTGGACAAGAACTTTGTGCCAGCATCAAAAATACAACAAAACAACTTGTTTTCTTTTTATACTCTCTAGCCATAACAAAGAAAAAAGGTGACATTCTTTTTTGGTAGTTTCATGAGACAAAGACTTGGATCTGTAAATAAATCACTTTCTTATCAACACACATTCTTCACAGCTTTTGTTTTGGCTTAATGGCAGCGTGGAGAGATAGCACACAACAGGACTCCATACCTAGGAAGCCTTCTTTCTCTGAAAGTTTTAAACCTAAAGAACAATTTTTAAAAATAATAATAATAAAAAAAAACAGTTCAAAAATTTGTTCCAATCCCCCCTTGAACAGTTAAAATATGAGTTAGAAAGTTTGCTGGCAGTTTGTTTCCGGGGAGTCTGTCAGATGTAGGCTGTCTCTCCATGCATTCCTGCCTCAGGCATGAAGGGAAGAGGCACACAGAAACAGAAATGCAGTGAGCAGGGGCTCCGAGGGAGCGGCCCCTGCCTCAGCACCGTCTAAACGGTGACGGTGCTGACTGTAAGATGCTGGTTTGTGCAGGTTTGTTCCTGGATGAAGGCCCAGCTGGCACAGCCAGTGCTTTGTTCTACCAATCCAAACGTTGCTTTGCAGTCTGGGAAAACCCCCTTCTCCCTTCAGCATCATTTCTGGCAGAGCTTGGGTCTCAGCGTCGGTCTCGTGGCGGAACATATGGCTGTGGCCCAGCCTGTCCAACAGCAGCACGCACAGAGTGTTCTCTGCTCTGACGTGGACTGTGGAAAGCCTGTAGTCCCCCATACTTGAGCGGTACTTCCAAGAGAAGCACGCCCAAATGAAGCTCTTTAGTACTGAGGGAGTCAGAACAGGTTTTGTTTGGCATTTTAACCTTTGGAGAATCTTTATCTCTGGAGCCGATTCTGCAGAAGCAGAGCAAACCTTTCATGCTATTGTATTCTAGAGGCGTCTCTGAAGCTATGTGATTAGTCACTGCTGATACTGTTTGTGTCCTCCACTCCCGAATTATGCTAAAGCACACCATGTATTTCTCACTCAAAATCAAACAGCGCCGTGGTCCCCGCTTCCTGATAGTATTTCAAAGACCATTTGGTAACAGCAGTATTGCCACCGGAAGGCCACCTTCCTGCCACTGCCCTCACCGTCTGGCTTCTGCTTTTGAGAGGACTGAAGACTGCCTATGTTAACTTTCCAGACCAACTGCTTCCACGTGTAAAACTTCCTACGCAGACTTTTCAAAACACCAGCTGAAGAATAAGGCAATTAGTAGGTACTGACAAATTGTTACAAACTACAATTAGGCTTTGAACAGTCTGTGGCTTTCTCTGGACGTGTTGGTTTTCAAGGGCTGAGCATATAAATGCAAGACATGTCTCACTGGTCTCTTAGAAGTGTCCCCACAACACTTATTTACAAATTACAGCAGTTAAAAAATACTTTGGGAACATGGTTTCTGCCACATATAAAGGGTCGGACGGTCATAGCTAGGGATATTTCAGACAGACATGACTAAGAAGGAACAGTCTGCCCTGTAACAGCCCTCACCTCACCCTTCCTAAACACAGAGAGTCCTGTCTTCTGATGTGCGCAACCACGGGGACACCTTCAAAATGGAACACTAGCAGCCTACAGAGTGGGTTTGTAAAATACTGGGTCCCTGATTATTCAACTAAATTATACACAGGGAAGAAGCGAGCAGCCCCAAAACCCATACCTCATCTGTTTGGTCATTTTCCTCAACTGTACTGCTAAGTGCCACCTGCTATCTGAGCAGAGAAAAGCACATTTGATGAGAAGGCACATCTGATCTACTGCCATCGTGAAGGCTTTGAAAGAGAGAAGGCAACCCCGAATTCCCAACATAATCCTCTAAATGAGGGTGACGCAAGTCCCCCAGTCATATACTTAGCTTACTTGATTTCTGAAGACCCTCTCTGGGCAAGTGGGACCTGGAAGGCTGTGCCTCGCCCCAGCCACAGGCAGCTGATCCTCTGGGGGAAAAAAAAATCAGCCTTCAAGGTCACCAGCTCCACCTAGTGGGACGGGAGCCCAGTTCTAGTCCACCCTAAGACCGCCATCAGCAGGGCCAAGAGCCTCCTAGGCTGTCCTTGGCCTTGCTCTACCCACCCCAACCAGCTCAGGATAGTGTAGTGTAGGTACACCTCCATGATTCAACTGACCTCACTAAAACTGAGTCAGCTACCTAGGGCGTCAATGCTACAGGACAGGCACACAGTCTGCGTGTTCTTTACTTGTTGTCCTAAAAGAGAAAATTGCCATCAAGCTCACTTCTGAAATCAAAACTTCCATTGAGCCCTTACCAAAAGCTGGAGTGTGCATGAATGGTTCCCTCCTGTTTAGAGGCCGAAAGAAGACATTCTACGCAACAACTAGAGCACTCCATTTGGCATGAAGAGACTTATCTTATATTCCACTTCTATCCCAAGGGCATGCTAGGTTTTCTTATTTCAGCTAAGGGAGCGATCTGGTGAGTTGAGAGCACCAAGCTCACTGCCTCCCTAACCCTCCTCCTCATTCACCAGCAGTCACTGATGAGCCTTTGGCGAGGATAAGACAGCCCCACACAGGCTGAGGAGTCATTCTCTCCTCACTCCAGAGCAAAGCCTGTTTTCAGTAGAGCAGCCCAGACTCTTCTTGCAAATTCCCAACACCGGCAGTGGCCTTTCCTGCTACAAACCACAAGTGTGCCCTAAACAACCTCAGCTCTCAAATCTCCTTGGCTTTAAGAACTGTCTTTTCTGCCTTTGCAGATTTGAACCTGGTAAGCAAGCCCCCATTTCTCAGGACCTGGGTAGTTATGTGGGCCAACTTTCATTTCACTGTCATGTGGTTAAGCTTTAAAAGCTCTCTCTATCCCTCTGCCTGCGGTAGAGAGTGTGGTAGTGCAGCCTAAAGGAAAAGTCTCGTGAAGAATAAACCAAAGGGGCAGTGACTTCAGGGCAACACCTTTTTAACTCCAGAAAGTAATGGAGCCTCTCTGAGGCATTTTGGCACTGTAGTCTCTGAGCTATGCTTCGTGTGGGGAGTCTCTTTTGTGCATGCTTGCGACTGTTGAGTTTGCAGACCCCGGGGAGCCTCAGGAGAAGGGAGGGCAGGAGGGCCTCCTTCACTGTCTACTGCCCCTATTCTTCTGGACCAGCCTCCTTAGCTCGCCAGCTGCTAGCCTGAGGACAGGGACAAGAGTGCCTCCTTGTGCATGGGTGTCCCTGGCTCTGCCACTGACATCACTCCTAGAGGAAAGAAAGTCTCCATTATTCCAGTTCTTTCTGGAAACTCAAAGCCTAGGAACACTGCTCACCAGGGGACATAAGCAGAACAAGAAAAAAATTTCAAGATGCATGAGAGCCATCTCTCATGAGGGAGGGCCTGTGGACCCTGCTTCCCTTTCCATTCTCCCCAGTGCAGCCCAGGGCTGTTTTTTTTTTTTTTTTTTACAAGGTTTACTTCCAGCATAACTAATCAGCACATAGGATTGACTTGGAGTTTCATCAAATTTTAGCTTCTCCATAATTCTTTCTGTAGTTCTTTTCAAGCATCATCACACCAGACACTGATAAGCAAAGCTTCATGTTTCCCAAAGATGAACATCACTGCTGGCCAGCCTGTCCCCTGATGTACATCAATGGCAGCCTGTTGGGGACTGGACACTCTACCAGCGTGCTTGGGGTGGCTCTGAGCATTCACACCCGCACCAACCCGATGGTTTGGAGGTAGAATGAGATGCTGAGACACTGGAATTGGGTGTGTGAACCGTCGTTCTTACTCTTTTGCTTCAGCAGCTCATTGCTATTTGTACCAAAAAAAAAAAATTCACATCAAAGGATTTTGGGATGGCACAGATGGGGTTTAGGCAAGTACCGATAGATGCAGGAATTATTACTTCAATCACACATTTGTCAAATGTGAGGAAAAGACAAATTATTTCATGCTGTCTAGCCGCTGTCCCGCGATGTCCAGATGCAGCTGCCTGAGGTCAACTCCATGTTAGAGGGAGTGACAGGACTTGGCATACTGTGTGTTGACAGGACTGCAAATTGACTCGTGTGTGAAGCCATGCTCTACTTCGTCTTACAAACAAAACTCTTCCATCTACCTGTAGCTCAGATTTATGGGTTTTTAGCGAAGAGTCACAGATCGAAGAATGTACTATGCAGCTTCTTCTCAGCAAGAATATATGGAAGAGCTCCTTTGTGACTGTTGGTTTTATGGCAATTTGAAAAGTTTCAAATGAAGACTTTAAACACAGCCTGCAAACCCTAGATTTGAGCTGCAAATGGAGATTTCCACAGGGAGCAGAGCAAAGAGTCTGATGCCACTCTTCTCGTCTCTGAGGGACCTGCAGATGCTTTTCTTCCTTACCACGGAACTCTGAAGGTTAAGACACCCATGTAGAGTAATTACACTGAGCTTACAGATCGGCCATGACAAGGCAACACACAGCCCTCATCACCAGGCTGCCCAGCCAGCGGGGCACAGCAGGAAGTGCTGAACTAGACACATTTGGTGAGGTAAAGGCGACATCGGAGCTGGGGCTTGGCACATGGGAACATCACTGACTGTAAAACAGCAGCTGTTCTCTAACAGGTCTAATCCCGCCATAATGACGGTTAACAAGCAACACTAGACCTTCACGGAGAAAAATGCACCTTTTTTCCAGTTCACACCAAAAAGCTTCTCCTCTGCTGCATTCTGGTGTCAGAAACAAGATCCGGCGCATTCCCTTCAGCTTCCTGAGGCATCACATAAGGACAAGGACGCTGGCTTACTCATTCAGGCATCAACGCTCACAGACACTGATTTAAATGGCCCCATGTGAACCGAAACAAGTAAATGGATGCCACTCATCACGAGCAGGGAGGAGGCCACAGCCACAGCCACAGGCCACTGTAAATTAAGGGCTTTCCAAGAAGGTCCCCACACCCCTTCCATGCTGGGACAGGTCAGTGCCCTCAGGGGTAAAGTGCAGAGCCACAGGCTCTCCACAGCTGCCGTAGTCTTGTCTCCCCGTGTCCCCGAAAAGCAGGCCCTGGGTTCTGTCCAACAACAGCAACTGGGCTGCCCCAAAGTGATGGCATTTGTCATCTGGGGGGGGTTGCCCTGCCCCTCAGTTTCAAGTCTTCATAGTGTTCCGTTTAGGAGGGTTCTTCACAACACGGAGGTATACTTCTGCTGAGAGATGATTACAGCCTCACAGACTCCACCAAGAATAAATACTAACTGAAAACAACTGTGGGGCGGGGAGAACGTATACACAGGAGAGGTGCTGTTGTGCTCTTTTCCCATGCCACCCCTCCGGCACTGCAGGGACATCTGGTCAGGGCACCATGCCCTGTGGAGGCAGAAGTGTCTCTGTTCCAAGAACAAATCTACTTGGCCTCTTGCTTCTCTTGCAGTAGTGGAATAATTGACTCCCACGCCATGAGGCACTGAAACGACAACATCCACGAAGAGGCAGCTGTTAGTCGGATCCTGTTGGCTCACCTCTGTCTAGTGGTGCCTACGCCTGTTATCAATACCATTATCAAAAGGGGTGGTGACAGGTGTTTGGAACGTGTCCCCCATCTTTATGAGAGAGCAATGTCCTGACAAGGCTTGCACGCATTCATGGTAGTGTGAAGACTACACCCAGGAGTGGAGATGGAGCCACTCTAAGGAGATCTTCACCTTGACTAAGCAAAAACCAGACCAGGCAGGAAACTTTGAATGAGAACCCCAGCTCTGAGCCCTGATGGAGACACAGTGGGAGGTGTGGGTGGGGCTTGTACAAGGATGTAAACATGAGCCAGCCACCTGAGTCAGGGTGGGTGGAAAACCTGCTATTTACCAAGCTGAAGTCTGGTTTGCTTGTTAGGGCCACTCTTAAATAATTTCTACATTTATTTCTGTGTATGTAAAGGGCGAGGGCAAATGTACCATGACATCAGTTCTTTCCTCCCACCATGGGGTTTCCAGGGATCAAATTCAGGCTGGCAGGCTGGTAGACGGCACCTTTACCACCCCCAACCCCCAACTGAGCCATCCCACCAGGCCAACGATCAGGTTTTATTAGGCCCAAATACTGTATGTATTTTATTATTGTTTATTATTATCACATGGTTCACAGTTAGAACATGAATGCAAACTGATACTCCTTTCAGTGCAAGCGCCTTCCTTTCAGATCCTTGTGACATGCCAACAACTTAGAAGACTTGGGCACTGCCACTGGGAGTGGTTGGCCCAGTGGACATGGTCCTCCCTCTCAAGAGCCTCTTGCAAAAGGGAAGGGCAAGCCCACTCTACTAGACAGCCTTGGGGTGAAAGAGGACTCTACACTGAGTCACACGGGGAGGAGAGAGGCAGTACCCAATCCAGGCAGAAAGAGGAGTGGCGAAACCTCTCTCCCAGATACCTTCTGAGGCTGGGGAGGAACCAGACTCAGAAGTCTGTCCTAAATAAGGAAGGGCTAGCCAGCCAGAAGGAGCTTGCTTCCAGAAATGGAGCTGAAGAGAGGCCCATAGCGTTTTCAAGTCCAGGCCACCCCTTCTTAGCTACAAGAGCCTTTCTGCATGTCCCAATAAGAACTATGGTTGATCAAACTTTCTCTTCAGTCCTCAAATGTGCCAAAGCTCTTTTCTTGCTTAGTGACCGTGCATATACTGTTTCCTTTGTCTGGAGTATATATGTTTGTCAGATCTTTGATTCTAAGGCTCAGAGTAAATGTTATTTCAATAGACTGGTCTTTCCTGCCCACTCCTCTAGGCCTCTAGTATTTTTTCCTTGTTCCTTTCCTTCAGCGTCCTTATTGACCCTTACTTTTGGGAAGCTATCATTAGAGCATCACTGACAGACTGAGGATGCTTAGAGGGTTGTGCAAATCCTGCTATTTACCAACTTTGTATACAATCCCTTGCATACAAAAAGTACAGGGGAAAAAAAAAGTCAAATTTGTGTAGAAGCCAAAACTATGCATCAAGATAGTGGCCCTGTTTATGTACAATGGGAAGACACAGACATGAACCCTGGGTTTGCATTCTGAGACTTTCGAGATGTTGGATTCATTCACAGCAGGCATGATGGAGACACTGGACTGGGCTGGTTTTAGCCTGGGAAGTAAGAGCACGGAGCTGTCTTTTATTGAGGGTCTGCACATGCTGGTTTTGTTCTAGTAACTCACATGTGCATTTTCCTTTACCTTCACTTGCAAAACTGATCAGCACTTCCAAATGAGGAAAGAGAGGGGCAGGCAGGCAGTAGTCTGATGATGACATCACCCCCTTTCTGACCCCTGACTTTATTCAGGAATCTCTGTCCTTTCCTGTCTGTCCTTCTTTCTGTCTTGTCTAGTGTTAGGGGGTTGAAAGGGAAGAAGAAAAGGGGTGACGGGTGGAAGGGAGAAGAACCCACAAAGTAGTAAAAGGGCAGCTGCGTATGTCCTTGGCCTCGGCCATCGCTGAGGTTGTGGCTGCTGCTCTGAGGTGATGTGCCTGTACTTTTCCCAGTTTGCTGAAGAGAAGACAGGAAGACAAAGGTGCCCCCTCCCTTCCCTGACTTCTGTCTGGAGGCCCTGCTGCTTCTGAACTGGCTCTGCCCTGGGTGCTTACTTAGCCTGTGTCTGCTCATTAAATTGAACTCTGAATCACTGCTAAGAGGTGTGGTTCTCAGAGGAAGGCCTGAGTCTTACATGAGACTCAGGAAGACTCATGGTATTGTTGGCCCATTCCAAGCACTCAAAAGACTTTTTCAACCCATGGGAAATTGACAAATCCATTTCATCATCTGGGCCAGGCTTGAAGGATCGCAAAGCTTTCCTTGGGCTCTGAGTATGAGCAATTGTGAACAATTGATCAAGACGTGAAAAGACTAGAGCTGTAGACAGCTTCCTCTTTGCAGATGCTTATCGCCTAAGACTGCTCGCCTACAGAGATCTAGCTAACTCCTCCCCCGTGCTATTTCTAATAAACTCACTGAAGTTCTGTGTTGCTGGCAGTAGGAGGCCTCTGTCGGTGTGAGCACACTCCCACCCGATCCCATCTTTATTGCACGTGTGTACCTGTGTGTCTGTCTTTTCTTCGTTCCTTTGCCTTTAGTGAGGATTCTAGGATAGCAGGCCACATGGCTCATGGCAAGTAGTATGACAAAGAGGATTTTATGATTTTCAATTTGAAACTAAGTCAACACTCAAAGAAGTTTAAGATTCCTCCCAAACTGACACAGCCTTTGAGTACCAAATTATAAGTGTTTAGTTGATGGAACCATAGGTCTGGATTGTCCCCACACACAGCTTAGAAGACAGGGGCCACACCCTGCCGGGGGCGTCCTGCCTCCCCAGAGCTAGGAAGCTCTCCAAATGTGAAGGCAAAGCCTGTTTCCAGCAGCTGAATTTCAAGACCACAGTTCTTGCAGTTGAAACTGGGCCATTGTTTAACTGTAAGGTGGCAACAAAAGGACATCAGAGTTATTAGCAGAAAGGACTTCAAATTATACACATTAGGAGTGAAACTTGATTTAAGGAGCTGGCTCTCTCCCTCTTCCCCTCTCTTCCCGTGCGTGTGTGCGTGTGTGTGAGTGTGTGTGTGTGTGTGTGTTAATGTAAATGTTTATGAGGTCCATAAATCAAGCTCTTTTTAATAGCACTGTTTTCCTGTGTAATTCCATATACCTTTATTTTAGTGTATAAGAAGGGTACTTTAAAGTTTAGCACTTAAAAACAATCACTTTTAAGGGCTGGAGAGATAGCTCAACAGTTAAGAGCACTGACTGCTCTTCCAAAGGTCCTGAGTTCAATTCCCAGCAACCACATGGTGGCTCACAACCATCTGCAGTAATGGGATCAGATTCCTTCTTCTGGCGTACATGAAGCAGAACACTTATAAACATAAAAAAAAAAAGACAGTCTTTCAGTGAAATGTCTGTCAGCCTCAACAGATGACTAAAGGAGGTATATGGCACAGTGGGAATGAAGAGCCCTTTATGTGGAACCACAGGTAACATGAAGTACCCCAAAACCTCCATTAACATGCCAGGCTCACTGGGTCTGGGAAGCAGCCAGCCATCCAGATCAGAGCCACTTCCTCTGCAGGGTGTAAGAGGAGCAGAGGAGAGCTGGGTCTCTGCTTCGAAACTCAGCACAGCTCTTCTAGGGCAGCCTCGGCGAGGCAGGGTAGGGGCAGGACAGGTGGGTCATGCTTTGGGATGTCTGGAGACCCCCACGACGGGCTCTGCTACTAGGAACCGCAGTGGCATGGGCCTGCTGCTCACCTTCTCATAATACTGGATGTTCTTGTCAGCCAAGCCCACCAGCAGCTGCCGGAAGTCATGCCGCTTGCTGCTCTGCCACCTCTCCATGTCTGCCTTCAGGTCAGCGTTGAAGCACTCCATCCTGTCCTGGCACTTCTCCACATCTGCGGGCACCTGGAAGGGAGGGAGATTTGTGGCTTTGAAGTGCGGTTGCTTCCTCTACTGTGAGCTCCTCCTCAAACATTTGGGGGGGCCAAATGCTAAATTAAAATGTCAAAAAGCTCCCTGGAAAGCAGACCTTGGGATTCCAGGATTTATGGAAGAGTTTGTAAAAAGCACTATCCTGGCCCAAATATCATCCAATCCATTCAGGCAGAGCAGAGGCACACGGGAACCCAGCCTTCTGTGTCACCAAAGGAAGGTGGTTTAGGATCTTTTAGGAGTTACTCAGCCAGGCTGATAAACTTTGTGCGAGCACGCGCGCGCGCGCACACACACACACACACACACACACACACACACACACAGCAGCAGTGGCAGTCCTGCAGTGTGTGGGAACTAGAAAAGAAGGGTTTCCTTTTCTGGTCCAGTGCTTGTGATGTCTGAGAATGCCTTTCCTCATTTATCTGAGTGAACTGTGATAAGGAGGCTACTGGCCAGCTGCCTCCTCTGAACTACACATCATACATAAACTGGGACCCTCCTGTGCTCTGGGTGGCAGGTAAACAGAAAGTCTCAGACCGCCAGGGAAATCACTGAAGGGTATCAAAACAATCTGAAGCATAATACAGCAAGTGGTTTCAAGCTTTTTCGTAAAGGTTTAGAAAGACTTTCTCAAAAGGGATGTGTGTCCCCTGAGTTTCATGACCTTCACCCTGCTATGGTGAACTGCATTCATCCCACATGGCTAGTGAGGGCCTCCAGCTCACAGTGGTTCTCCAAAGCCGGATTTTCTGTCTTATCCTAAGTGCTTCAGTGGGCCCTTACAGCGATGGAGGCTCAGTATGCCCAAAACTAGGCCAACATCTGCCAGAAGCAAATGTAACTTTGAAGGTCCAATGAGCCCAAATGTTCTAAAGCTACAGGAGTAACTATTGAGAGCTAGGTCTGCCAACCAGAACAACGCCAGCATGGCACAGACGAGCTGAGGAAGCTGGCACTGCCCCTTGTGAAGCTGCCCCACTTTAGGAGGGGCAGCTGACAGCTTGACACTCGGGCTTGCAGGCAGCCAACATTGTGACTGTGTCCTGTGTGCTTTTGTGACAATGGATGAGAAACATCTGCATTTCTCTTGCTTCAACACTTTCCTTTTTGTGACTGAGGTACTGTGAGTCATGCTCCTGTGTCTGACAGGCATTGGGATGGCAATGTCCAAGGATAATGAATGGGTGCTGTGGGACAGAGCTGGGGAGGGACCAGTGAGGAAGAGCTGTCAGCGCTGGGACCTAAGTTTGAATCCCTGACATCCATATAAAAGCTACCCTGGGCAGGGTGGTCCTGGGCTGTACAAGAAAGTCAACTGGGCAAGTCATAGCAAATCAGCAAGCAGCGGTCCTCTGTGGCTTCTGCTTTGGTTCCTGCCTGAGCTTCCTGCAATGGGCTGTGACCAGGAAGACTGCGTATGTGCATGTACATACGTGCCAAATAGACCCTTTTCTCCCCACTGCTGTTGGTTGTGGTCTTTAGTATAGCAATAGAAAGCAAACTATGAGAAAAAGTGACTTCTGAGTGTTTTTAAATACTTATTTCTTGGCTCCTAATCAGCAAGGAGCCTGCAGCTTTCACCCAGCCTTGGCTGGAGGTTGTCCTGACCTTGGGACGATCTTCCTTTCTCAGAGCCACAGCTTCCAGTTTGGCTTCATACTCTGCTTGTACTTGGTCTCTCTTCTTCAATACACCCTGTTGGAGGCAGCAAGAAGCATGTAATAGCCTGCAAAGGGGCCTCAGATTCCCCACCCTCCCCAAATCCCAGGGTCCTGAGCCCAGCCACATGCTCCCAGGTCCAGAAGCTGCACAACACCAGCTCTGAGGACAGGAGGGAGGAAGGAGAGCCAATCCTAGAGTGGGCTTTCCACGAAGCAACCCCTCCTGATGGCGACAGCAACAAATTTTGGGAAGAGCGGGGGAGGGGAATGTTGCACCTCTGCCACACTGGCCCAGGCTCAGCTTTACCGTGTACACTGAGCTTTATGCTTAAGATGCAGCGCTGCCTCCGGGCTCAGTGAAAAGCCGTAAAAACAGCTCTTAACTATGATTATTAGTTTATATAATTGACAAGAATCGTACGTGTTTACTCTGCATAAAGTGTTACAAAGTACATGTGTATTATGGTGTGGCTAAACTGAACTAATTAACAGGTACTACCTCGTGCTTATTTTTTGTGGTGACAGCATTTAAATGTACTCTCAGCACTTTTCACGAACACACTAATCATGTGCACACTGTCATAAAGCTACTGTCACTATATTATAAAATGACTACAGGAGAGTTCTTGACTCTTTAATCTGTTGGGCTGCTCCCTGGTGGACTGGTATGTCCACTGTTCCATTAGCTACTGTTTGCTCCACTGTGTGTCAAGTACAGAGACTCGGTCCCTACGTGAGGGTTTAGTCTGAGAGGTCCTGACGTATGAGGGTGTGTGCAAGAGCTCTGCACAGGGTCCGAGTCCCCAGAACCATGCAGCAAGCTTGCCAGGGATAGTGGCAAATGGGCGCAATGACAGCCAGCCCGGGAGGAACAGACATGAAGCAAACCTGGTGCTCAGTGAAAGGCATAAGGACCATGCTAGCACCTGAGAGCCAATCGCCCCTTGAGCCCTTGTGCTCCCTTCCCTTCCTTGGGCTCAGCTCTGCTGCTCTGACCCTGAGAGTGAGACACAAGAGCTTGCAGCTCTTTCCCCGACCTTCTTCTGGTTCTGGTTCATTAAAGATGGCAAACCAGGCGGTGACCCTGTGCATTCCTACAGTGCTTGCCAGAACAATTTTGAAGTGGTTTGAGGCCTTGCCCTGCACCCTCCAGAGCAAGGTTATAGAAATTTCAGACAACATGGCAGAGGGCCTGCCACGTGGGTACACTACACGTGGAGAGAATGGAATTTACAGTGCTGTACTTCCTTGTTTGTAATTTGCTGTGGTGGAAAAGATTTGCCCAGGATGTAGAGGCAAGCCAAGATGCCCAAGCTAGAAGAGACCTGACGCTTCAGAGTGACCTTTTCAGCCTATTTCATGGAACTTCTGTGGGACGAGAGAAGATGAGGAAGTGAGACTCCAGCCATGTCGAAAAACAGAATCAGGTTTGAAGCCTGCTCTTTCACCTCCCACCTAAAGTGAATCAGCAGTTTCTGGTTCTTGATCCAAGCTGCTGTGCATCTCAGGACAGATGCAGTGTGTCTGGTAGGCATCCTCTTCCCAGAGAAAGGAACTCGGCTGTGCCTGAGGTTTTTTTGACCCCTGAATATAATAAACCATGGATGTCTCAGCTAGCTAGAGGGAAGCATACCTGCTAACCAAATACTTTGGAAGTAGAGGCAAGAAAGAAGATCAAGAATTCAAGACCTGCCTAGGCTACAAGCTGTCCAGTCTCAAAATAAATACAGTTCTATCCATAAAAAAAAAAAAAAAAAAAGGCAAACCAGGAATGGTGAGAGTCTTCTTACCCACTGAGAAGCCACAAGTTACCAAGACAGTTCCTAATCATAAGGATTCTCTACAGGGGACCTTCCAATACAGCGTGGAGTTGGGGCAGGAAGGATCCCCTCCTGGACTAAGTGGAGGCACTTGGTGCCCCTGGGGACATAGTCACTCTAGAGCCCATCTTCTAACAGAAATTATCAACATTGGGAGCCCCAAGTCTTCTCCTGAAGAATTTACTTTGAAGAGTATATAATCTGTAATCATCTTCCAGGTGAGCCATTCCTCTTTCTCCTAAATGCTCTGAGATTCATTCCCCACACTCCCGAATGTCAACAATGAAACTTTCTGTTGTGATAGAAACATTCTATAACACAGCTGTCACTAGCCCCACCTGCCTATTGAATACTTGACATGTGGGTGTGACTGAAGAAACGGATTTGTGTTTGTGTGTGTCTGTGTGCAAGGGCGAGCTCCCGCGCCGTGTGTGTGTGTGTGTGTGTGTGTGTGTGTGTAGGTTCCCACCAAGACCAGGTCTTGATCCCCTGAACCTTGATGTAAAGACAGTTGTGAATCACCCAACATGGGTGCTGAAACCATAATTTGTATACTTTGCAAGAGCAGAAAGTGCTCTTAACCACTGAGTGTTCTTCTAGCCCTGAATTTTGATTTATTTCTTTAAATTTAAAGTTAAATGAATGTTTTTATGGCCAGTCGCTACCACATTAGACAGGTTAAATCTATAAAGCAAACCAAAAGAAAAACAAAAAGCTCAGGTCATTCCTGGTTTCACAAAGTCTGGGCTATAATCTAAATGTACTGGTCTGGTGCCTGTGTACTGAAATGTTCTCTCCACCCAAGATATAAACACATGATGGATCTGTGGGGCCATGGCCATTCACTCCGCACCTGTGCACACCCCTTCACAAAATGCTGCCATCTTACTGGAAAAAACAGGCATTTCCAGCCTAGCACTTCAAGGAAGGAAGCCGCACAGACACGTTCCCTGTCGGTGTGACAAGAATCTCAGAACTAATGGTCCTGAGACAATGCTTTGGACTGTCGGCCTAGTGGATGTTTTCTCTCCCTGCTTTTTATTGTCCCTTTGTTGAGGATACCAAGACTCCTGAGGGGAGGGACGTGAGAGAAGATGAATCCACCTAGATTATTGCCATAGTCTAACTACTCATCCCATTCCACCAAGAAGACAAGAGGACCTCAGATGATGCCATGTTCCTCAGATGATGCCATGTTCCTCTTCCCAGTTCATGGGCGGCTCCTCTATCTAAGCCTGTGCCACCCAACCTCACCTGGAGCGAATGGGATGCTGTCCTCCTGAGCAGGCTGGTAGGAGGATCTGGGCTTGTAGCCAAGAATCACTGGACAACATAAAAGGCTCCCAACAAACTGGTGAAGGCGAAGGACACAGAGCCTGCTGTCCAAATGAGACCTGCACAGTGACAATGGTGGCCTGTCTCTGAGGCCACACTGCTGGAATACAGGACAGCAGCAACTCTGTTTCCACCATCTTCTGACTTAGGGTTTCACAGTCTGACCACAACCCAGCCATGCTGAAGGCTGGGCATCTTCTCTAGGGACCCTCTACACACTGCTGGCCTTACTAAGGATGCCTCCCATTCCAACCACACAATCTCCGGGGAGACAACTGGCTAAACCAGCCTATGACAGTGAGGGAACATTGATCTTAGAATGGGTTGAAAGCCCAGAGGCTCCATCTACAGCCAGGCCCCTACTCCCGCCTCCGAGGGACAACTAGAAGCCACCCGAGTCTCCCACAGCCCTCTCGGTATTCCTAGCTTTCCTCCTCCATTTCTGCCTTTCAGCATCAGGATTCATCAACCTCCGGGCAGAGAATAAAACAAAAGAGCTTTGTCCCGATGGACTTCCATGTCGGCGAGGGGGCAGACAACAAACAAGGAAACAGTCTTGGAGGCAGAAGTGTCACCAAGGAAAAGGAAAGCAGGGACAAATGGGAAGGCTGAGGCTTTGGGGACGGGAAGAGCACTTCCCTTGGGTGGTCAGATGGAGAGCCCTGCGGCATGACTACTGGCCCTGCTAATCCGGACCGTCTCTAGCCTTCTGGACAGATGGAGAGAAGGCTAATGACTCTGCTTAGTGCTCACTGTTAACAAGAAAACTGTGAGGAAAAATTAAAAATGGGAAGAGATTTTAATATATTTAAGAAACCTATCAGTGAATATATGGATTCTGATGGCTCTGGGGAGAAGGACTACGAAAACTGAGATGATGTGACCGTTACTAGATGTGACCATAGTAAGAAACTGGTTTTCTAAATTCGGTTTCTCTTCATCGGTCTCTCTGACCCTTCCTCTCCCCTCCCCCCCGTGTTTGTGTGTGTGTGTGTGTGTGCCTGTGTGTCTGTATGTGGTACATTCCATACCCGTTCGTGCAGACAGAGCCCAGAAGAGGCACTGGGTGGCTCCCTCTCTTAGTCCCCACCTTACTCTCCTGAGACAGGTCTCTCACAGAACCTGGAGTTTATAATTTTTTGTACTGACAACCATCAGCAAGCCCCAGAGGCCTCCTGCTTCTGCTAACCTCACCCACTTCTGGACATATTTGAAGTTTTAAACAAAAGAATTATTAAACAATACAAACACAATACCTGCCATCCAAAATATTTACAATGAACTAACAGCATCAATGAAGAGACTTATAACTGTCACTCGTGACACGCTTGTGGCACACAGCCTTTCACCTACAATGATGAAACTACCTGGAGGAATCGCAGACATATTCTGTGGACTTTCAACATCAACACTGGATTTATTCCAAGAAAATACACAATCATGAGTTTGCACCAGATATCAGAACACATCTCTCCTGAGTTCAAGCCCTGTTTTCCTCTGTAAGCTCACAAACTGCGGGAAGGAAAGAGGGCTCTGGCAGTTGCCACGAGGCTTCCTAAAGACTCCTGTGGGTTTACTGAGCTAGTGCCAACATCAACCATGAACGGCAAGCCAACAGGCCTGCTTAGTCCTGTCCCCCCACCAGCGTGTGGAGGGAAGGATCACACCCAGCCTCCAGTAAACTCTTTTGATTTCTGCTTTCCTAACAAAGAACAAAGTCTCTCAGAAAATATACAACATCAGAAAGGTTGCCAGGCATGGTGGCTCACACCTTTAATCCCAACACTCAGGAGACAGAGGCAGGGGGACCTCTGTGAATTTACTGCTAGTCTGTCTGTCTAGTGAGTTTCAGGACAGCCAGGGCTGCCCAGAGAGACCTTTCTCAAATAAGATACAATATCAGAAAGAGAACCACAGGACTCTCTTGGGGAAGAAAAATATGGAAATGGATTTTTAGGGAGCATGAATATTCAAAAGCAAAAGAACCAATGAAGACATGCGTCACTGTCTGAAAAATCTCATCCAAGCCCCAACAATCTTAAGTGCAACTCTGGCTTTGCTGTTGAGTCACCCTGCACGCCCCTGAGCCATCTCCTCTTCTACCTCAGCTGACACTGGGTCAGGGCTTGAGCTAGAGGCGCCGGTCATCACCTCTTCTTCACCATCCTTCCCCACCACACTGCAACCGACCGCCTTCCCGCCCCACTAACCTGACTGCAGCATTTTGGGGATCAATGCTCAAAAACTCAGTTCAGTGCCTCACCCATGGGGTGAAGAAAGAGAACAAACACTTCTTTGCTGTGTGACTTCAGTTGCTCTGGCAACGCTATGTCTCACAGTGCCATCCATGTTTTAGTTGAGACACCAGTTCAATCTTTGCTTAACGGCAACTTAAGATCCTGCTCTAAGCACAAATGATATTGAGTATTAACAGATTTGCCACATGCTAGAATAGGAAAAAGTGTACAACAATTCCCTAAAACTGCACGTGCTGTATTATGTCTGAGCAAGACTGGGGAGCACCCCAATGAAGGGTGTGGAAGAGTCACATCCAGACAAACCGCGGCTTGTAAAGGTTATTCTATGTTTACGAAAGCTACCAGCACTGCTAACCTTGCAAGCAAAGTGAAAAAACGCTTTGGTTCACTTAAAATAATTTGGGATGCCTTCCTATACTTGCTTCAGCCACACAATTAAAAGGTCTTCCCCTCTACCCTCCTTTATCTAAGTTCTCCCCTCCACCTCCCTCCTAGCTCTATCTATCTATATTAAAAAGCAAAGATGAAAATATGCTGCAGGTTTGGGGCCAGAAATTTTGGGGTTTTGGCCTTTATTTCAATATATATATATAAAACTTACACAGCATTCTGCCTGCATGTATGCCTGCACACCAGGAGACGGCACCAAATCTCACTATAGATGGTTGTCAGCCAGCATGTGGTTGCTGGGAATTGAACTCAGGACCTTTGTAAGAACAGCTAGTGTTCTTAACCTCTGAGCCATCTCTCTAGCCCTCAGTATGTATCTTTAAGTGAAAGGATCAAGAGTTCAGGGCCACCGTTGGCTACTGGAAGGCGGCTGCTTGGAGGTGGGCTTTCAACACAACTCATGTGTTCACACTGGAACTGGTGGCCCAGCCCAGGAGTCCCCAGAAGCTACACTCTCTGCCAGTGTCCGAGCCACCTCGTGGGGCATGAGAACACTGCCATCCTTACGCTGTATAGAGACTGCAGATCTGTCCTCACAGCTCTGTTTCTTCTCACCTGCTGCCACTAGAACAAAGCTGTTTTCACTCTTAAACCTTTATATAGTACCTCTTTCTCCTTTTAGGTTCTTGTATTATCTTTTCCCTTGGTTATTCCTGTCCCCTCAGTCAGGAATTCAGATTCGGAACCTTGAGCTCAGTGCCGTTAGTGTCCCTCACTCTTCCACCACAGTTTTGGCATATTTAGTGGTTTTTGACCTTCCAACTGCTGTTTTTGGTCTTACTTTCTAAGATTTCCTCACCCATGTTTTCCAACTTTACCAATTTTATTTAACAGATCGTGTGCTTTTTTAACTGGTTAATTTTTAGGTCTATGGGTGCTTTGCCTGCTTGTATGTCTGTGCACCACCTAAGCACCTGTTGCCTGTGGAGGCTGGAAAAGGACCCCTGGGACTGGATCCAGAAACAGCTGAGAGCCGCCATGTCAGTGCTGGGAATTGAACCCCAGTTCCCATGTCCTCTGGAAGAGTTGCCAGTGCTCTTAACCACTAAGACATCTTGCCAGCCCCAAGAAATCACATTTTTAATTCCCAAAGTTACCTAACCATCCTTCTGTAAAGCACCCTTGCCTGTTTAGTAGCTATTTTATTTCCTCAGATAAGATCACTGTTGTAAATGTCTTCCAACCTTTTTTTCCCACTTAATTCATACCCTCTAGTCACCATATGTTGTATTTATATGTTCTTGGTATCAGTCTTCCCAACTACAAAGAAGGAACGTGTACCACATGCAAACAGGCAGTAATTTATAGCTTTTTGATGAGTGTGCAAAAAAAGCACCCAGCTTACCTTCATGGAGTCAGAGTATAGAATGTATTCCCTGAGCACAGGCAGAAACTCGTCTGTTATGTCATCTGTCAGCTCTTCCAAGGCTGTGGAGCAGTTCCCAATGCAGGCTGACACGCCCTCCAGGGGCTCCGCCAGCTCACCTTCCAGCGCGCTCCAGGTGGAGTACACAGGCCCATACTCCCTCAGCTCCACCAGGTACTCTACAGGAAGAGAGGCCAACTGGGGTCAGAGCGCACACTGCTTTGATGGATGCAGGATCCACAGCCAAGACTACCTCAGGATGCACAGCCTCGGCTGTGCTCTCTCCTGGGCACACTCTCCTCTAAGGGCAACACAGTCCTAACTTATTTAATTTCAGCATTTAGAATGCTAACGTAAGTTACTACCAACATACAAACATCTAGGATCTTGTTAATAATACTTTATGGGGAAAGGCGGGTAAGAGCCAAATCCAGGCAACGTCTTCAAAAATGGTTAGCTTTCTATTCATGCTGCGAGAACAACATTTTCCAAAGCCATGGGGGGAGACAGCCATATAGGCTCAGAGGGCCTCAGATTCCCCAGAAATGGAGTTATAGATGGCTGTGAGCCACCACAGAGGTGCCCGGAACTGAATACAGTCTCTTCAAGAGCACTCTGACAGGCCGCCATGGCTGTTGCTATTAGGGAACGGCAGTAACTGAGAGGCCTATGTGACGTGGTTCATGTCTCCGCATGACCACCACCAGCACTCAGGTGTGTCCGGCCTACAGCTGCGTTTCTGAGACGAGGTTAATCAGGTGACTGTGACAGGAGAAGGGTAGACAGGCAGTGGTGCTGACGAGGAAGGACAGCCTCAGGTGTGAAGAATGTGAAGTAAAGTGACGCAGGGCAGGGAGGAACAGGCATAAGTTCAAAAGCTCACTGGGTCACAACTCTGGCAAACACGGTTGCCACACTCTTCTTTGGAGCCATCTCTCTGCTAAGTTTGTTTCTGTACTCATCAGCCTTGAGGTTGGAGGACGTGGGAAAAGCATGCGCCATGCTGAGTGCAAGACAAAGGACTGAGTGCGAAAGTCCATTCTAGGCACGACCAGCTCCCCCCTCCTTGTATTTGGTTTTTAAGCAGAATAAGGCCGGGTTCTGTCACCGCAGCATTTCTGCAGGTTGCCTCAGCCTAGCATCTTAGACATGCCATTTCTGCCCTTTTGGGCACCATCAGTCTCAACAGAGAGCTCACCTATTTCTTCTTTGATGATCCGCTGGGCTATCCGATCGATGGTTCCCAGTTTGAGTGCAAAAGTGTCTAGGTAGTCGCCGATGGCTGCGAACTCCAGAGGCCGGCTCCTCAGCTTATAGCCTCCAGTGACGTGCTTGACTGACTCACCCACCCGGGTCAGCAATGCTATCCCCTGCTTCTTGTAGGCATTCAAGTCCTGTGGACAACAACGGAACCTCTCAGTCACACCGGAGGGCTGGGGAAACCAGCTCCCAAAGGCAGTGGCTCATTGGCAATGGAGGAAGTAGAGAACAGGAGCTGGCAGGACCACATACACACTACAGCCCCACTGTGGGAACCCATTCCTTGGGAAAGCCAAACAAACATCATCCACCCTAATAGGGAAAACCAAAGTCTATGTCCAAAGTCCAAATGGAGGAGCCATGCCACAAGAAAGTCTCACCCGAGCATGGACGAGACTTCCCAAAGCTGCAATGTCCAGGGTCTACACACTAGCATCTCCTAAGACCATGAGGCCCGTATGCAACCAGGAGGAGTTATATGTAGCTGTGAGGTAACCAGGGGAGTGGCTGAGATCAAATGAAAGCCCAATGAAGTCCCCAACACAGACACACACACACACACACACACACACACACACACACACACCTATCCTTCTTTGATGGAACATCAATAGTCACCAGACCCTACTCTTGATGGTCTCTTGCAAAAAGTCAGAGCTGCTCTGACAAGATGGTGGCTGCTATGCTTGGAGGAAAGCACTCTACAACAGAGACCCCCCACTCCCCGCACCCCAGAATCACAATCATGTGCTCATGTTCCCTGCCAACATGGCTGGGTCCTAGTCCCTCTAGTCCAGTAATTCTCAACCTGTGGGTCACAACCCCTTGTAGGGGTCAAATGACCCTTTCACAGAGGTAGCACATCAGATATCTTGCATATCAGATATTTACAAATCATAACAGTAGCAAAATTATAGTTATAAAGTAGCAATGAAAGTAACGTTTTGGCAGTGGGCCGTCAGAAGATGAGGAACTGTGTTAGAGGGCCACGGCATCAGGGAAGCTAAGAACCATTGCTCTAGTCAAGTCTACTCCCTGTCTTTAAATGCAATATTCTTTCTAACAAAATGTTTAAAGCCTCTGGCAAAAATACCCCCATGCTAGGCTACAGGGGTGGCTCAGAGGTTAAAAGCATTGGCTGCTCTTTCAAAGGTCCTGAGTTCAATTCCCAGCAACCACATGGTGGCTCACAACCATCTATAATGAAATCTGGTGCCCTCTTCTGGTGTGCAAGCATAAGAGTATATACATTAAACAAACAACAAAAACCCATGCTGTCATTAGGACAAAATTAAATGCCCGAGATTCATTCCATTCATTCACTCAAACCCTGCTAGGGCCATCTAATAAGGAGGGTGCGGAGAAGAAACAACAGAAGCATTGCCAGAGAGCTCCCTGAGCTACCAACACTGTAAACACATTTTAAATTCCGAATTCCTGTGGGTTGAGGCAAAAATAAGCAGTAGGTTGGACCTTTAAACTCTTGTAACCAAAATTTAGAAGATAGAGCATGCAGCACGGTGGTGAAGGCCTTTGGTCCCAGCGCTCAGGAGGCAGAGGTAGTGGATCTCTGGGAGTCAAGGCCAGCGGGTCTACACAGTAAGACCCTGTCCCTCAAACCAAACAAACAAAAAGCTCTTAGAGCCGAGCTGGTGATACATGCCTATGGGGGAGGGGGTGAGCAATGTGGGCTACAGAGTGAGGCCTATCCTTGTCACTGGTTTCCTTTCTATTGCTGTGAAGAGAAACCAGGACCAAGGCAGCTTTTTTTTTAAAATAAGAGGCCGACTCCTCAGCTTATAGCCTCCAGTGATGTGCTTTTTTTTTAAGGACTTAACTGGGGCTTGCTTGCACTCTCTGATGTGTAGACCATTATCATCACAGCAGGAGCACAGTGACATGCATGGTGCTGCAGAAGGAGCTGATGGCACAGTGAGAGAAGGAGGGGGCGGGAGGGGGAGGGAGGAGAAGAGGGGGAGAGGGAGATCACGATCCACTGGTAGGGGTCAAGGGACAAGCAGGCTGACAGACACTGAGCCTGTGCCAATCCACACACTTCAACAAGGCCACACCTCCCAATCCATTTCAAACAGTACCACTTTTGGTGACTGAGCATTCCAAGGTTGGGACCATCTTCTTACTCCAACCACCACAGCCCTATCTCAAAACAGCAACACACCAAAAGCATATAGAGCCCATCAGAGAAACAAGCTGGTCCCCACCACTAAACTGTATCTTGAGGCTGTCCTGTGCCATCCTCAACTACGGGTCCACAGAGGGCGCTGGGGTCTGTTGCTCATATGCACGGCACCATGCAGAATGTTCACCCTCAGTTCACAAAGGGGGACACAGAGCAAGGCTGTGGCTTTCTCCTGGGCTGACCCAGTAAAGAATGAGAACTGATGAATGACAGAGCTGCCCATGCCCTCTGGAGAAGAGCAGTCCCCTCCATCCCCTCTCCACCTCACATCCTTTCCATGTCAGATGGCTGGGAGAATATTCTAAAGCCTCCACTGCCCTTCTTGCCCTCCAGACAGGAAAGGCATCTCCAAAGGCACCATGCCTCTTCGGTGCTGTCACAGCCTCCCTGTCGCTCGGTTCCTGGATTTCCTCTCACAGGTGATATATTTTGGAGACTAGACTCAACTGGCTCATTCAACTTCATACCCCCGCTTCTACGACACGCACCCGGGGTCAGTCAAGTAACAAGCGCTGGAATTGTGGCTGACACCTACCCACCGATGCAACTATCACCACAGATGACCACAGAGATCTGAACACAGTGCTCCGAGCTTCCTCACACTCTCCCAGCACCACTGGCAGCTCCTTGGGGAGATGTCTAATCTGGAGAGGTAATGTCATCACCAAGAAGGCTGTCTCTGCAAATGCTGCACGTTAAGTGGTCCATCTAAGAACCCGGGCAAACGACATGCTGTAAAACACTGCTTTCCCAGCTTAGCACCTCAATCAAGCTGTGACTACCCAAGGGCCCTTGATCAAGATCAGGCCTGTTGCTACCCACAGAAGAAAGACCATCCCACCCGACCTGAGACTCCAGCCACTCCTTGCTAGGCCTGCCTGACACCACACAGAACCATCCTTTGTTGTCGGGTACACTTCTGTAGGACACAGAAGTTAACAGAAGAGAGTACTCATCTGCAGCTACAGGGAAGCTGTCACCTATGTGGGGTGAGGCTGTTTTGCTTTGTGGATGTTTTAGTCATACATACTCCTATAAGTAACCCCTTCCCTGGGCGCTGTGAATAAGCCCCAGTAAACGCAGTGGCTCGGCTCTGGAGTAGTCATTACGTCGGTCTGTCATTGGTGCCCTACCCTGGGGAATAATAAATGACTGTTGATATCACCTCAGGGCAGCTCACACAACAGTGTGTTAAGGGAAAAGACAGGAGAGCTGGATGAGGAGACAGAGCTGCTGTCATGGGTACAGAGGTTCAGGTCTGTGAGACTGGCCTGTTGCAGAAGTTGTGGAGAATGGCTGCTCAGCAGTGTGGGTGTACTTAACGTCAGCTGCCTGTGCACCTGGACACGGCTAAGACCAGAAGTTTCACATCACAGATAGTTTATCTTTTTTCTTTTTCTTTCTTTCTTTTTTTTTTAAAGAAAAGATTGGCTACTTGGTGAGTTCAGTTTAGCAAGTGATACTAAAACAGGGCTACATTTGTTTTGTTTTTGGCTTTGTTCTCTGTTTCAGACAGGGCTCACGTAGGCTGGCCTCCAGTAGCTGAGGACAGCCCGGAATTAAAAGTGTACACCTCCCCAAGCCCCGGGAGAGCCTGTTGTTTAAGGGCTGCTCTCCTGCATTCCCTCACATGGCATGAGATTTTGAAAGAGATACTGAAGGACCTTATCATACATCTTGAAACCCTTTGTCATTCTAGTTAGCGCAGAGTCATTCTCTCTGAGACACTCACTACTCCCACTCATCCTTCATGCAGATGCCTAATGACCAGGATCCAAGCCACAACCCTCTTCTGTTTCACTCAGTGGCGAGGACAACCTAGGGTTGGAGCTGGCTTGCCATTTGGGAAAACAAGAAACTGGGAGAACCACACCCAAGCATCAGCATTCTGAGAAATGCTTCCATGTAAACAGGCTCAACCTGTAGGGGGAGCTGGTGCACAGGCTGTCATCAACTGCAGGTAAAACAAAAACCTGAAGGACTCAGCCAAGACAGTCTGAGTGGAGAGCAGATCTCCTGGGAGCCTTTGATGTCAGAAGCTATCTGTCACATGTGTCTGTTTCCTTGGAATGTTAGCAACTACAACAAATGGACCCAGCCTTCAATGCCCTTGTCATTAGAACAGATTATACACGGCTTGAATGCAGGAATCAGAAGCTAAACGGGTTGGCTAGGGAGAAGCTAGGCTCCCTTAGGGTCTGATAATTTGATAATGTGACCCTTTTCCGCAGTGTGAGTGCAGCACCTTAGCTTTAAGGTCGGTTCTGCCTGCAGCAAGTGAACTAAGCCAGTGAACAACCAACCTGAGCTTGAACGGTCTCTGGTAGCACACTGGAAGCCAACTATTTTTCTGACAAATGACAAGAAAACACACCTAAGAGGAACAGATGTTGGCAAGCAATGGCCAGGCCCTGTGACACAGATGGAGGGTGAGGCCATAAGCCACAGAACCTAAGTCCTAGTGATGTCGACTGAACAAGTTCAATCTCTCTGAACCTCAGTTTCCTTGTCTGAAAAATGAAGCTACAGTTACTTACAGGGTTCCTGATGGGGGCTCTGCAGGCGTCCAGGCAGGGAAGCAAACAATGAAGAGATAAGAACGAAAACTCTGCTCAGATTGACTTCATCAATCTGGATCAATCTCGGTGAGTCTGATGCCAGGCAGTTCATTGTCAGCATTTTGAAAACAGTACAATTTGGGGAAAAGTTTCCAGGAAACAATCATTCCCATTCCATTCTCATCCCATTAAGATGTGCCTACACAGAAACTCCTTTACAAAGCACAAGTGGCCATGAGGGTGGGTTCTATAGTTAAAAGGTCTAGAGTCTGGTATGGTCTCTGACCAAGATGGCATAGAGGCCATAAAGTACCTGTGACATCTCCCCTAAGAAAGGGTTCTATTGGCTGGGAGCTAAAGATAACAGTGTGGGTGGGGAAAAGTCTAGGATAAACATTTTCAGGAGATTTGGGTGAGGTCTGCCTCTACCAGAACCTTAACAATATCCACTTCTGGATGAAAACTAGGTAATTCCTCCCTTGAGAAGAGGCCTCTGTGTGTTTAACATTCCTGGTTTCCTAGGGCTCTGTGGACCCAAAGACCTTTGTGCCTCCAACAGGTTCTTACGGAGAATACTCTTGTAATGCGTTTGTGTTTGTGTTTGTGTGTGTGTGTGTGTGCACACTTTGGTGTGTGGGTAGCATGTGAAGATCAGAGGACAACCCTGTGGAACTGGGTCTTTCCACCTTCACATAGGTCCTAGAGAGAACTCCGGTTCTTGGGCTTTTGTGGCAAACTCTTGGCCCACTAAACCATCTTTCCAGCCCTGAAGAACATTCTTATCAAAGGCTCAGTCTTCTTTCTTTCTCTTTTGTGCCTATTGCTGGTAAGCCTCACTTACTAACACCACCAAGAAGTGCTTAATGGACACTTCTGCCTTTGGAAAATGAGATACTGACTTTCATTGCTACTGTGAAAGGGGCGGCCTGTTCTGCTGGATTTTAAAACTGTACAATGCAATGGTCACCAAGAAAGTTGAGGGCCTTTATCATGCCCATCTCAGAGCCTCATGGAAGTGGCTCTAGAAAGAGCAAAGCAGTGCCTGAGAAGGAGCCCAAGAGTGATGGTTACAGACACACACACAAAAGCTTGCCTGTACCTTGGCCGTGAGGAACACAGTGAAGTGTTCGTTAAAGGAGAGCACGGGGTGATCCGTAATCCTCTTTAGGAATTTATCCAGCGCTTTTCTTCTGGTCTCCACAAACTCTTCTGAAAAACGATCCACCACGCCTTTCACCACAAACTTCTCAGGAAGTGGCTATAAAACAGGAGAGACACAGAGCAATCAAGACAGTGTGATAAAAACTCACCAGGCTAGCAAGTCTTTTCCTGCCCATCCGTCCAAGAGCAGTGTTTGGGGTGTTGTTCGGTTGAGTTTTGTCTGTCTGTCCTTTTTTTTTTTTTTTTTTTTTTTCCTTTTTGAGTCAGGATCTCATGTAGTTCCGGCTAGTCTCAAACTCACTTTGTACCTGAAGAGGACCGTGAATTTGGGGCTCCTGCCTCCACCCTCATACCGAGACTCCAGGCATATTTCACCAGGTCATTTTATGCTAGGCACGTTACCAGGTGACCTACATTTTGGGTCCAGGGCTGGTATTTTTTTAACCTATTAGATCATGTTATCATCAGTGAAGATTCTTGGGACATGCAGCTCCAGCAAACCGCAACTGCCCTGTCAGTTTCATGTTCGGAGGACAAAACACTGTAGCGCAGCCCTGAAACACTGAGCTGCCAAGAGCTGCTCAGCAAATGTGGCTGTGCTGTCCTGACGTATGCACGGATGATGTAAGGAGAGTCGAAGAGAGTGTATAAGAAAAGAAGGCCACGGCTGGGGAGACAGCTTCATTGGCCATGGGCCTGCTGTGCAAGCCTGGGATCTGAGTTCAAGCCCCGGTGCCCATGTTTAAAACAAGAGCCAGCTGTAGCAGTGTGTACTCGCAGTTCCAGTGCTGAGGCTGCAGAGACAGGGCCTTGCTGGGCAGCCAGCCTGGCCTACTCATTGAACTCCTGGCCTGTGAAAGACTCCATGACCCTGCCCCTAAGGAAAAGAAAAGTAAAGAAAAGAGAAGACACTGGTAGAAAATGCTACAGAACAACAGCCAGGGCTGAGCTCTATACACATATACCAAGACATGTGTTCTATACCATCTACACGGGTGTGCGCTTACATACACCCGGACACACTGAGGAAGGAGGTGACAATATTAAGCACACAAAACTTTATTAAACTAGAGTAAGACTCTGTTCCCGGTACAAAGGGCACAAGAGCACGGTGAATGAAGAACAGGAAGTGGGCACACTCACATCTGAAGATGGTCTTCATTTTCCTTTTAGGTTTGAAATCAAAACGTAACTTTATTTACTTCTCTCATTAAATCAAATTTCTCTAGCATAAATCTCTGAGCCGATAGAGCTGAACAATTTAAACTACCTTCTCACCCAGGGACTTTGAGCTTTGACTTATTTCCTTGGTGTCTTGCTCAAACGTGTGTGCTTAAAGGTGTTTTTCTTATTCATTCCACAGGGAAAATTGACTGCTATGCACAATTTTAAAATCCCTGGGTTCTGACAAAAAAAAAAAAAAAAAAAGTTGGGATGGTGTAGACAAGAGGAATCCTTATCTATCTTCTACCATAGGCATGTAAACCAGCTATGTCACTATGGAAACCAGTGGGAGTTTCTTCAGTAAACTAAAAACTGGCTTCCCTTGATAGCACGTGCCTATAATCCCGGCACTCCAGGAGTCAGAGCTCTGGGTTCCAGGCCAGCCAAGGTTGCAGGGTAAGGCTGTCTCAAAAACAAACAAACAAAAAAAAGAAACAACAAATGAAACTGTGGCAATGCAATATCCCAAAAACATGCCTTGTATTTTATGAGAATGAAACCTTTTGCTGGACCACACTGCGAGAATTAACAATACACCTTGAGGTTCCTTGAGTCTGGATTGCTTGCTTACTGTGTACTCACTGTTTAGTCTGCCTTTAAGAAAACAAGTAACAATCATCCTTACTTGCCTTGGTGTTTCATGTAATCAACTTTTACAATCTAAACTAATACACAGCTGTAATCTTAAATATGTACCCCTCCGTGTCCCTGACCCAGAACAATGCATCTGTATCATTTGAAGAAAAAAGCAAATACAGAGATTGAAAGCAACTGTCTATATTATATGTCTAGTATCCACTTATAAGTGAGTATATACCATGTGTGTCTTTCTGCTTCTGGTATACCTCACTCAGAATGATCTTTTCTAGATCCCACCATTTGCCTTGTTTTTAATTACTGAGTAGTATTCCATTGTGTAAATTTACCACAATTTCTGTATCCATTCCTCATTGAGGGACATCTTGGTTGTTTCCAGGTTCTGGCTATTATGAATAAAGCTGCTACCAACATGGTTGAGCAAATGTCCTTGTTGTTGGATATATGCCTAGGAGTGGTATAGCTGGATCTTGAGGAAGCACTATTTCTAATTGTCTGAGAAAGCACCATATTGATTTCCAGAATGGTTGTACAAGTATACAAGGATACTAGAAATATAATATAGGATAAACATACTAAAATCTGTATGCCTAAAGAAGTTAAGCAAGAAGGGGGACCCTGGGTAAGATGATCAATCCTCACTCAGAAAGACAAACAGACATTGGAAGAAGGAATAAACAGGAAACAGGACAAAAGCCTACCACAGAGGGTCTCTGAAAGATCAAAGCAGATGCTGAGACTCATAACCAAACTTTGGGTAGAGTGCAGGTAATCTTATGAAAGAAGATTAGAAAGACCTGCCGAGGACAGGAGCTCCATGAAGAGAGCAACGAACAAAAAAATCTGGGCCCAGGGGTCTTTTCTGAGACTGATACTCCAACCAAGGTACACTCATGGATATAACCTAGAACCCCTGCTCAGATGTAGCCCATGGCAGCTCAGTATACAAGTGAGTTCCCTAGTAAGGGGAACAGGGACTGTCTCTGACATGAACTCAGTGGCTGGCTCTTTGACCACTGACCCCCCCTGAGGGGGGAGCAACCTTGTCAGGCCACAGAGGAGAAAAATGCAGCCAGTCCTGATGAGACCTGATAAGCTAAGGTCAGATGGAAGGGGAGGAGGAACTCCCCTATCAATGGACTTGGAGAAGGGCATAGGAGAAGATGAGAGAGTTAGGGAGAGTGGGATTGGAAGGGAATGAGGGAGGTGGCTACAGCTGGGATATAAAGTGAATAAACTGTAATTAATATAAAAAAATAAAAATTAAAAAAAAAGAAAGCAACTTTCTAAGATCTACCACAAAAGTTGAATGCAAAATCTATGGATACTGATTACTAAACAATGTTTATAGTACTGTTTGCTGTCTAAGTCAGCTGGAATCAGTTTAAGCCCGTGATGTAATCCCTTGTAAAAAGAAGTTAAGACTTCTGTAAAGTAACCCATTCCTTCCTGTGTGACCCTTTCTGTGCTGCTCAGTTAAGTCCTTTGTTTAAGATAGACATACAGTGCAGAGAACTGACAGACACGGGGTCATATTCCCATGACAGCCTTTAGGCAGGCACAGATTTAGATCACACAACAGAGGACAGCAGACATAGGGAGCAGAAAGCAGAGAGTTCAAATCTGGAATCACCCTTAGTTCACCAAGGGGAAATGCTTTCATTTTTTTCCCTTAATTGGATACTGATGCATTATTGGTGACTCAGAGATAATCACTAATGTGTTTAATCCATGCATAAAAATCTGTTTTAAAAAAAAGTCCTGAAAACAGATCTGCTAAATAACCCTGTTATACAGAAAGACTCTAAGCCGACGAACCACACAAACTGTTCATAACAGCAAAGCTAGGGACACAGCAGAAGAATGGATGAAGCAAATGTGCTGGATACACAGTCAGTCTTCAGCCATAAGAAGCCTGTGTCATTTGCAAGCCACTGCAGATAACTAACCACAGTAAGTGGATCAAGCAGGTGTTTCCCTTCTATATGGCATCTAGATTTTATACATAAATGGGTGTGTGTGTGTGAGAGAGAGAGAGAGAGAGACATGAGACTGTAAAGGAGAATAAACAAGCTAATGGGAGACAGAGAGGTGGAGATGCTCAGCAGACAGAATGTATCTGTATGAAAATGTCCTTATCTTATTACAGAGTACCATATACAATGATTACATACAATAAAAACAAACAACGTTTCAGTTATAAAATGCATTTAAAAATAAACAAATAAGGTTGGTGATGAAGCGCAGTGATGGAGCAATAATGTTGACAATTTCTCCCAAAACCTACAAATAGCCAATGAGCACATGAAAAGATGCCACTGTAATTATTAGGGAAATGAATCAAAACCATAATGAACTTAGATATGGTGACACCAGATGTAATCTGAGCATTCAGAGGAAGACTAGGGCAAGAACAACCTGAGACCATGCTGAGCTTCATCAGCCAGCTTAGGCTACGTAACAGGTCCCTATCTCATGACAAGCAAACAACCCTAAGTATTTGTACAGATATAGGTTAGAATCTACCATAAATTTCTACTTGCAAATTATTACAATGATCCATAGGAAACATTACGGTTTAATTTTGAAACACTGACATTATACACAGCACTTGAGAGTTTGGAGTATATGTTACAAATGGTTTTAGCTTCTAAACCTGGTCTGTAATCTGAAATAAAAGTATATTTCCTGTACATTGCCACAGCGAAGCTATTTCTAAGTAGGAAATCTACACACAACTGTTCAGCCACAGAATGTACAACTTCTTGTCAGAGTCTAAACTCTTCCCCACTTTCAACAAAGGTCTACTGCACCCCACTTCATCACTCAAACCTGTCCCTTCCTTCCCTTACCAGTTTGATAGAAAACCTCACTGAAAGGCAAGAATCATTGCCAAACAAAGAGGCATCAAGATTAAAAGCCATGCCATCAAGAATAATTGTCAACCCTAGTTTAATTCAAAATGCTTGAAAGTTCAATCAATATTTTACTATTAACTTCTCTACTGAGTAAGCTAAAAGTACCTCAAAAAAGGAAGCAGAGGCTAGAGAGATGGCTCACTGGTCAATAACACTCACTGCTCTCGCAAAGGACAAGAACTGGATTCCCAGCACCCACACCAAGCATCTCATAACTGCCTGGAACTCCAGCTCCAGGCACCCAGTGCCCTCTTCTGGTCTCCTTGGTCATCTGCACACACGCAATGGTACATACAACATGTGCACATACACAAACATAAATAAAAATGAAGTAAATATTTTATTTAAAAAAAATGGT